CGGCAGATATGCATCATTTAGAGTATTTCGTTATAATAATATCAAAAAAAAGACAGTAGCTCTTAGCTCATTGCAGTAATTACAGAATTTGTTACAAACTGTGTTCTCTTTCAGAGGTTTCAGTGCCTGCATTCAGATTTAAGTAAAAATTTGTAATGAGATGAAGAGAGATCATACCCTGGGTTTGACCGCATGCATCGATAGAATAGCTTGAAAGGGCCCGGCACAGTTTTAAATGGATTTCCTTCAAAACAAGCCTGCAAAAGGATAGGAACAAGAATTATTGACAGATCTACATTGCAGAAAATTTAAATTATATTACAAGTTGATATTGCTCAAATTCATTTAATATTATATCTAATTTTCATTTATTTGTGTTTCAGTTACAACTTCAATTGAGGTTTATGTCAGACCCCCTCTAGTATCGCTGTTTTACACATAATACCCTTGTAGTTTCAATGTTACAGATAGACCCCTGGTGTTAAACCTTTTTTGACCATATTGCCATCAGATAGACTCACTAGTTCACCCCGTGCTAAAATTTCGCCAATGGTAAAAGAGCCCAAAAATTTAACCCAGGGGTCCATATGCAACAATGAAACTACAGCGCCTCTAAGCGCAAAACTGCAATACTACAGTGGGTTTATGTACAATTAACCCTATCAGCCAAATAGAATTAAAAAAGATACCAAAAAGTAAAATTTCCTTTGATTCATTCAAAAGAATGTATGGAAGATGGCTACCTGGATTACATCCTCAGCTCGGTCATTGCATCTATGTGCCTTGGGCTGCCTTGTATCACCTTCAGGCAGCCCCCAAGGGCTATCCCTTCTTGGAACAGGCCTGGAACTCATCTTCCTCAACCTAAGCCACAGAAATTCCGCAACTCACATACAAAGCCAAAATATGAAAAATTAAGTAAAACCCCCACATACGATATCCAAAATACAAATAGTACACATGCTTTGCATCCAAGTACCAATATTTACCCAAATTTAATTGCTGTCACCCCAAAGCCATACGAAGCTCATCCCCATCTATACCAGGAAGCACATAATAAAAATTTGGGGTTGATAGATAATGAAACAGACTCACATGAGGAGTTCTTCTGTTTACCCTCAGTTGGGTTCAAGTAATAAGGATCTGCTTTGAACCCCAGGTCCTGAGCCAATCTTTTTATTAAGAACCTAGGTAGCATAAAAACAGACATGGACACGGGACACCGAAAATTTGTAGAAGATAGGACACGGACAAGATATTATATATATATATATATTATAGTATATATATATATATAGATAGCAGAGAGAGAGAGAGAGAAAAATGGCGTATGCTTGGTACAAGCACAGATTTTGTCTTGGTAGTGAGGTGTCTCATTCCCATCCACTTATTCAATTTGGGGACCACATTCACCCATGTGAATGTGGTCCCTTCCATTTGAATGAGTGGAGGATAATATCACACCTCACTACAAGCATAAATTTTATGCTTGGTACCGGGGCAGCATACTCATATTCCTCATATATATATAATATATATATATATATATATATATATATATATATATATGGTCTTTTCATATAGAGTGCCCATGGGCCACTCTATAGATAAGAGGAGAGATGATTGAGGAAGGCCACCTGATTTGCATTGGATCCCCTCCCAATCATCTCTCTCTCTCTCTCTCTCTTTAGAGTGTGTTATGGGCACTCTATAGAAAACCCTATATATATATATATATAAATAATATATATATATATATAGAGAGAAGAAGAGAGAGAGAGGAGAGAGAATGAATATGCTTGGACCAAGCATAAAGTTATGTTTGGAGTGAGGTGTCATGATCCTCCCACTCATTCAAATGGTTGCATATCCCATGTACTCCTCCATCATGTGAATATGATCCTCCATTTGAATGAATGGAGGGATTGTGTCACCTCACTACCAGCACAAACTTTGTCTTGGTACCAAGCATACCCATATTCTCATATACGTATGTACATACTATATACATATGTACATACATATACATATGTATGTCCATATGTATGGAGGAGATTATCCACTCACTACAAGCATAAAATTTGTGCTTGGTACCAGCATACCCATATTTCTCATGTACATATGTATGTACATATTGTAACATATGTATGTACATATGTACATGAGAAATATGGGTATGCTTGGTACCAAGTATAAATTTTATGCTTGGAGTGAGTGGCACAATCCCTCACTCATACAATGGGGGACCACATTCACATGGGTTGAGAGTGCATGGGAAATATACAACCATTTGAATGAGTGGAGGGGATTATGTCCCCTCACTACAAACATAACTTTTTGTGCTTAGTACCAAGCACAAACTTTTTATGCTTGGTACAAGCATACCCATTTTTCTCTATGTATAAATTATACCTATATATTATCATAATATTATATAATATATATATATATATATATATATATATATATATATATATATATATATATACACATACATATAATAGATGTAATACACACACGCACACATATATATAAACATTTGTATTGTTACTTTAATGTAGAATGCATATATGATTATAACCAAGGAACTAACTATATGCATGTATTCATATATATAATAGTATATGATATATATACTTATAATATAAATATATATATTATATATATATATATATATATAATAATAACGTGCGTACGTGTGTGGTGTGCGTGTGTGTGCGTGTCGGTGCGCACCCGCACACGCATGTTCGTGTGTGTGTGCGGCACTCTAGCTGCGTGCGTGCAGGCGCCGGGGCAGCGGCGCCGTGTGATCCGTGAATTTGAATCAGAATAATTGTGTCTCAAATAAAGCTTATCCCTTGAACAAGTAAATGAGTTATGTTATATATGTTATAACATATGTGTGTTTCATTTTTGATATAATTTTTTCATTTTTGATATAATATAATATTAATATACGTATGTGTTCTTTTCCAATTAAGTAATTAAGGAAATAAAACGAGAAAAATACTTAATTAATAAGAATTGAAAAAATATGCACATTCTATATTTCTATAGTATTAATAATAAGAAACGACACCTCTATCATAGGAATAGGGATGGGCATTTTCTTTGTTGTTGCTTCAATAACAATTTAATTATTTTTTATTTGATATCAAATTAAAAATAATTATAAATTATTTGATCTATGAAATGATTCATCAGAACAAAACAAGTAACGGCCCGGCCAGTACTTAACCAGGCCGGGGTAATGAACCTTAATCTTATCTTACAAAATCAAAGATACATGTGTGTGTATGTCTGTGTAACATTTGTATGTTTATTTTAGGATGAACAATCATATAGATTATAAACAAGGAACTAATTGTATATGCATGTTACAGGCGATGATCTTTTGAAAATTTGAAGACAAAATGAAAACCAAGAATCAAGATAAAAGAAGAAAGAACTGAAAACTGAAGTCCAATTGGAAACTGAAAACAAGCAAATATGAAATCAACAGTACACTGAAGTTCATGGAACTAAACTCTAGGACTACCCATTCCTTTATAGAAGTAAAGGATCAGCATATGATGATAGCTGCCAACAATAATCACAGTTAAAAAAACAATATGCTAATACTTATACGCATTCGCTATATGTAAATTCAAGAAACAATTTCCAGCAGTAT